ACTCCAAAAAAAATTACTAGGAATAGGTTGTAATACATATTTTGTCAAATGCAATTAACACATCATCATGTGCCATGCCAATTGATGTAAAAGCAACAACAACGACAATATATTTCAATCATTATCTTATTTTGAACTTATTTTAATCTTATTTTGAACAATTTTGTACTTCAATACAAATCATGATTTGAAAAAAAAATATTCCTTTAATAATAATAATAATAATAATAAAAGTTGTCAAACTTAGAGGAAGCAAATCCAGGTATAACAGAAAAGTTTACCAAAGTACAAAATCTTTACCAAATGTTTCCAATCCATCAAAGAATGGTCTGAAACAAGTATCACATGAAATAAGAGTTTTCAATGGTGTTTTTTGACATCATCGCCAGTAAATTGGGCAGATATTGAAAATTATGTTGAGTTTGTATCGAAAGAAATGCCTGATATTAAAATCGATGACAATCTCCTTGAAGAAATTAGAAGACTGAATGTACACACACTGGCCAATGAATTAGAAACCTTTGGGATTTTCATTTGAACATGTGCTAGGGATGAAGTATGCAAATTTTCTTTATTACATGGTTTACACATGGTTAGAATGCTAGTATAAGTAAGGTGCTAGAATGCTTTTCACGATGAATGAAGTAAAATCGGAAAAACAACAGATCTTTCACCATTTGAAAAAAGGCTTATTGTTGTTGCCCATTTAGCAGGGGCCTCGATTTTGAAGACAGCAAATCTCACTGGGTTATCAAAAGCAGCCATATCAAAGGTTTTTCAAAAGTTGGAATAAGAACCCACAGTCCTTCTCTAGAAGATGTAACTGCAGTTCGAGCACAGTTTTCTACGAGAAAGATTGGCGTTGCCTCCGAAGAATTGTACGGCAGAACAGGGACTCTATTATACTTCAACTGACACAGATTGTCAACCAAGGCTCTTCCCAACAGATTTCAGCTCGAACCATGGGCACAGAATTGCAAAGGATAGGAATTGATAATCGAGTGCCTGTGAAAAAAAAACACTCATTTCTGCCAGACACGCAAGAATTCTTTAGCAGTAGTGTCAGGAAAGAAGACACTGGGCATCTGAGGATTGAAAATGGGTAATATGGTTTGATGAATCAAGCTACACCTTAATTTGCACTGATACTAGACATCGAATTTGGCGAGAAGCCCATGAAGCCATATATCCATCTTGCCTTACTTGCACTGTGTAAGGGTCTGGTGGGTTTATCATGATAAGGAAGTGGTGCCCTGGTATTTCTTGAGGGCAAACAAACAGCCATGAGATACCTAGATATACTGGCAAATCAAGTGCAATCTACAATGCTGCATTTTTACCCTGATGGTGACAAATACTTCATAGACAATAATGCAACTATACATCATGTTAGAAGCGTTCAAAATTGATTTGCTGAACATCAGTCTGAGATCAAATACCTTCCCTGGCCATTGCATAGCCCAGATCTTAACCCCACAGAAAATGTGTGGGATATGGTGGGAAAACGTGTCTGACAGAACTCCTCTTCCACCTCATTTACAAGATCTAACAAGCTGCATAGCCAATGCATGGTATTCTCTGGACATAAATGCACTCCAGAAGCATGTAGACTTGATCCGAAATGAATCAGAGTAGTTATCCATGCAAAAGAGTCCAATAAAATGTTGACCTAGGGAATTTTAATTCATTGGCCAGTGTGCTTATTAATTTCTGATAAATTAGAACAATGGGAAAATCAGTGTGCTAAAACTGATAAAAGATGGGTGGAAATACAGGGTGATCAGCGAATAAGCCCTGATTTCAAAATTAAATATCTCTACAACAAAGATCGATAAAATTATGCAGTAAACTACGTTTATCAGCAAAACTGTAAAAATGATGTACAAAATATAAAACGCAGTTTTCGAAACCAATTTAATGTTCCAGTTAGACCCGATGCGAAAACCATTCGCATGCTGTTCGTGAAATTCGATTGGACTGGCAGCGTGACTGATGATCGAAAGGGAAATGTTGGGCCTAAGCAAACTATAGTCACCCCCTGAAAATGCAGCCAAAGTTTCTGGATTTGTTCAGCAAAATCCTAGGAAAAGCCTCCGACGGACTTGCATCAGAGACAGGTTTGAAGTACACGAGCCACAAAAAATATGAAAAAATAGCCTACAACTGTTTCCATACAAAATCCAAAGTCATCATTCCATACCCATGAAAAGCTGTGCAACAAAGGGTTGACTTTGCGAACCAGATTCTAACGATGATCGACAATGACAGATTTGATGTGAGCTGCATTTGGTTCACAGATGAGGCACATTTTCATTTGAAATGGAAATCATTAATAAACAAAACTGGAGATTTCGGTGGTTCTGAAAATCCTCATTTGTGTGAAGAGAAAGCACTTGCATTCACCTAAAGTTACTGGCATGGGCTGCGGTATGCGCCAAAGGCATTATCAAACCCTTTTTCGTATGAGAAAAGATAACTACTTGAACATTACATTACAATTTTGGAACAAATTGTCAGCACTCAACTAGCATTGGATGGCTCGACCAGGTATCGACTGGTTCCTGCAAGATGGGGCTTGACCACATCGAACAGATAAAGTTTTTCACTTTCTTCATGAATACTTTGGGAATAGAGTAATTGCGTTAGATTATCCTCAATTTACTGACACAGGAATAGCTTCGCCTCCATATTCTCCCGATCTGAGTCCTTGTGACTTCTTTCTGTGGGGCGCATTGAGAGACGCTGTCTATCGCAATAATCCTGCTAGTATAGATGAGCTTGAATCGTTGATTGGTGTTGCATGTGATTCCATTTCCATCCAGATATTGCAAGATATGATGTCAAATTTCATTGTTCGTTTACGCCACCTCATTGTTTTGAACGGTGAACATTTTGAAAAAGTTGTATTTTGATTGCAAAGGCTGCTTCACTTTATTTTTTAACTAATTTTTTCTTACTCCTTTCAGAGAAAGAGTTTTTAGTGTGGAGTGCCATCTGTCAATGATTTTCATAACTAAATTTTCTAAATTTCTGTACACCATTTTTACAGTTTTGCTAATAAATGTACAGTTTACCGCATAATTCTATCGATTTTTGTTGTAGAGATATTTAATTTTGAAATCAGGGCTTATTCGCTGATCACCCTGTATCAAGCTATTTCAAAAATGAACACTCTCCATATGAAAATTTAGTTATTCTTGTTGAATTTATGTTGTGTTGCCCTGGAATTAATGCAGGAGTTAAAAGGGTTTTTTCAATTGGTAATGATTTTTGGACAAGTGAAAAATCAAGATTGAATGTTGATACTCCAATTCCAGCACTTACTGTAAAGTTCAATATGAAGGATATTTCTTCCTCCAAAATTTCCAATATATTGTTAGAAAATGATATATTGACAAAAAATATTCATTCAATGGAAAAATACCCGTTTGATTAAGTAACTGAAAGGAATGTAATTAGTGTATTTTTGTTTGAATTAATAAAATGTTTAATTTATTTATGTTGTACTTTTTTCTTAAATTTTTTCATCCCCCTTTTCATTGTAAAAAATTGGTCACCTTAATATTAACAAGGGTTACTTATCTTTTCTTTTTACCCTCCCCTTCTTTCAGTAAAAACATATCTCAACTAAACAAAGTCAATAACTTAAAAAATTTTAATTCAAAATTGAAACATCTCTAAAATGAGTGTAGGCTCAAACCTTGTTTCATAAAATTAATCCATTCCTAAAGACGGTTCGTAACTGCATAGCATCCCAAATGATAACTATTCACACTACTAAACATACAAAATATAAGGAAACATGAATTAAATTTTACCACAGCGCTATGAAAAAATTTTATGGCATTAAGTAGAAAACAGTAAAGAAGCTGATAGTATAAATTATTCTTTAAAATGGAAGTCCTATTCCTGAAAATATCAGATAGCTGCTGCTATATCTCGAAATAGCATTTGTCATCCTAGACATTTTTTATTCGGAAACTTTAGTTCATGATCTAAGGTTCCACAGCACTTTTATAGTTTTTAATAAAATGAATAATATGCTACAAAGTCCGAAATCCGGTCGTCCATTATCCGGAATGATCTAAAATTCGGACCTCAAAGCCACAAACATTTTTTTTACTAATTTTTTATGCATGCACATTTGATTTTTCTTTCTATAATACAATATGTGGAGATTTTCACTTAAAAATTCTGATTGTTAATTTCACTTAGGCACTAAATAAAATATCTCGTTATGGAAAAATGATCATGTAAGCATAGTGTGAGGAGCATGGCATTGGGAAGTCCACTGTATATGACACAAGAAAAAAGAACTTTTTGAATTTTTTGTGGAAGCATCTTAAACAACTTACATTGAAAAAAAAATGTTTAATAGAGTAAACAAATACAAATTAAGCTTTTTTTGAACATTTTGATACCTTTTAGATCATAATTGTTCTTTATTTCATAAATTACAATTTCATATTTTTAATTGTATAATTTCTGCATGGGATCTTACCAGATTTAAATTGATGATCCGGAAAAATCCCAAAGTCCTGACCAGTCAGGATTTTGGATTTTGTACTGTACATTTTGAAAAATATCTAAAAAACCACTTTCAATTACGTAACGATTAATTGAAAACCTGTTGTCCTCTTTAAATAAATTTCACAGTATAATATTGCTTTAAATATTTACTAATTTATAAATAGAAAAATTCCAAAAAGAATTTTCATTCTTCAGCATACATTCAGGTAATAACATAAGGAACAGTAAAATGGAAATTTAAACTTACTTAATGTTCCTAATTTCACGAACTAATGATCAAACTAATACTTTAAGCTGTGTGAAAAGGGAGTTCTTTTTCTATTTATTTACTTACAGTATTACAGCCTTTTACATAAAAAGTGTTTATCAAATTTAAAATGCCAGAAAATAAATGTTCATGCAAAATTCTGCATACCAATTAACTGTTTTAGATCAAAAATTTGAGAAGCAAATAATAATGATATATTTACGTTTTTTCTTCCAAATCTATCAAGCTATGCCACCTTTTACAAAGGGTTCTGAATAATTCTTTATCAGTTTCACCAACATCAGGAGGTAAAGCCATTCCAAGCAGCCACTGGTGTCCCACTATAAATTGTATGAAGCAGAAACAGAGAAGTGAGTAAAAAATAAATAGAGGTACACATCAGAAACAATATCTTCTAACTACAATTTCAGCATTTATTACTGAAAGCCCACTGATTTCACAAGACAACAAAGTGGATATGAAAACTGAATGCCAGAATTACAAAGAGAACAAAATTTCTAAAGTAATCATTTTTGGCAAATTCGCAAATACCTGAATATAATTTAAAAATTAAAACAAATAAATAAAAAAGCTCACAGAAAAATTCAAATATCACACAAGATGTATGGTTATTAACATTGCCCAGTTTTACAAACAGTTTAAATATTTAAATTACAATTTATAAAAAACTCTCTTTCGTATTTGCCAGATCTGATAATTCTGAAAATATTTAAATTAGTTAATGTAAAATACCAATTAACACCCTGACTGCCTTTATCCAGTCATCACATTTTGTTGGCGCTTGGCACATGTTGAGCTATTTTAATTTCAAATAGTTTTTTCCCTACAATCTTTAATGATGTACATATCTTAATGAATGGAAATTTATGAAAACAATACCAGAATTCATACTTTCAGAAGAATGAACAATTTTTGTGCTGCATAACCCTTAAAATAAAGAAATGGAAACTATAAAACATAAAAGTGCATAATTCACATAAAATTCAAGACCGTGACCTCAGGCAGTTGATCAATCTTGGTGATGCACTTAAGGACTTTCAGTCTAAAGTGGAAAAAAAAAAAAAAAAAAAAAAAAAACCCTGTTCCTATAGAACTTAATTTACACTACAGAAGTAAAAACATATCTTTGTTCCATCATTAATTCAGCTTCTTACAACTTAATTTTTCAGCTTATGATAAAGGCACTTATGAGTGTGAAATATAACCATGCATTTTAAAGCACTGCCCCAGATTTGTTCCGACATCCCCTACATAATATGAATTTAAATGCCTCAGACTAAATCATTATTACATTTTTGCTATAACTAAAATATTAAAACAGTCATTAAGAACTACAGATATTAACTAAAACTAACCATTTCTTAACTCTTATTAAAAGACAACTACAAGAATCCACCTACAAAACATTAGTTACAATGTCTTGTTGCAAAGGTAATAAATACACTTTTTAATATTAACTGGATGCAGTTAAGAAATATGCAACATCTCCCTTTTTATAATGGGTAAATCACAAAATTAGTTACAATCTTCTGTTACAAAGACTGCACATTTTAATATTAACTGGACACAGTTAAGAAATATATGTAATATCTTCTCTTTTATATTGAGGCAATCACAATATAAAATCTTTTAATAAAAATGATTGCTTTACAGTTCTGCCACTCTTAGTTACATAAGCATTTCCTTGATTACTTGAGCCTTGATTGCATTGTTGTGCGGCTGAAATGGTATTTCTCGAGTTATATAAATCTTCTCATTGACAAATAAGATAATTCTCTTTCATAATATCTATGATAATTTAAGTCTAAATTTTTAAGTTTCTCAAATGAAACAAATGTCTTCTTACCACACTTTTTCTTTCTGTTTTAATTAAGCATGATCTTGGAGTTTTATAGTTTATTCTAACAACTTTGACTGGCTTCCAATGATTAATAACTTGTAACCTCTACTAACCATATGTAATCTTTGTTTTTAGAACTTTATGTAGATTGTGAACGGCAATGGTAAAAGAAAAAAAAATATTAATAAATAATTATTAAATATATAATAAAATAAAAAAAGACCAATCTCCTAAATACAATAAATAATTTTCTTTAAAATACGACTTTGACAGACACTTTGAGTAAACTGAGAGACAAAATTTGGTTTCCACCAGACAGATGATGAGAAGCGTTCTCGTTTCAAAACAATAGGATAGACTATACTGGCCCACTGTACATCAATGATGGAAGAGAAGTATCTAAGACAAATATTTTACTATATACCTGTGCTTAACTAGGAGCCATGCATTAAGAACTTACAGCAGACCTGTCCACAGAAAAATTATTGCTTGCATTTAGATGCTGCTTTGTAGCAAGAAGTTTGTGCCAAGAAGTGGATACAGAAGACAATGCCAAAACCTTTAAAACAATGAAAAAGAATTAGATTAATTGACTCAGGTGATGAAGGAGAATGTCAGGATGTTCAAGATATGTTCAGGACGAATTCTCTAAACAAAGAGTCAAATGGATATTTATAACTCGGAAGGGGTGGTGGAAGGTGGTGTGAAGGATTCTGGAAGCATATGGTTCAGTCTCTGAAAACTCTTTTGAAGAAAATTTTAAGTAAATCCTCCTTGACATTCAGGGAATTAGAGACAGTTGTAATTGAGACAAGATTGTTTGATGAATTTAAAATTTGTTCATCATTCCAAACTGGAAAAAATGACCTCTGTTTGAAAAAAGGAACTGTTGTGTTAGTATGTGAAGGTGAAATTCCAAGGTTTATGTGGACAATTGATATCATAATAGTAATATTTCCCTGGATGAGATGGTAACGTGAGAGCCTGTGCTGTTCATTTGTCTAATGGTAATTAAAAGACCAATTCAGCTACTGTATACACTGTAACTACAATGCAGCAAGGAAAATTTCAGCAAATGTCCTTCCAGAGCAGAGGCTATTGCAAATCAAGACACCTGCTGTGAGGCATCGCTATGTGAAACAACGAACTCTTAGGCCGAAAGAGAAACTTGCATGCTGCATCATGCTGGATTTTAAAATTTCGCTTAGACATTACATGTATCCATGAATCCTTATGTATGTTTTCTGTTCCTTATGTATCCTTATGTATGTTTTCTGTTCACATTAAGACATGTTTTTTTGTGTGCGCAAAGATGTATTGATCATTTCCGTTAATATTCCATGAAGGATTGCAAATAAAAGGATTACTGAGTGGCCTAGGCAAAAGAACCTGCTGAGAAGTAAGAACTTTTTTATGTTCACTTTTTATTAAATGGATTTGAAAGAATCCAAAACCTCCTTCAGTTTGTTAAATGCATCCTCACATTCTTTTGTCCACAAGAACTCTTGCTTGCTCCCTGTCAGTTTGTGAATGGGTCTTATAATGGAAGTCCTTCACAAATCGCCTAGAGTATATGCGAAAACAGGAAACTTCTCAACTGAAAGAAATTTTTGGGGTGTCTCCAATCTTTAACTGCTGACGCTTTCTCTAATTCTGTACAGAGAACTTCAGAGAAGATGACATGCATGAGGTAAGTCACTTCCTGTCTAAATTTATATTTGCAAGGACTTAACTTCAGATTGACTTGTCAATTTTTGAAGCACCTTCCAATTTCCAAAATGTTTCGAGACAGTGGTGTCATCCAGGTATATCAGACAAGCTTCAAAAGAAAGGCCTTTCAGCCCAGCCTCCATAAGCGTTTGAATGTTGGAGGCGCATTACACAATCCAAACAGCATCAATTTGAACTGCCAAAGTCCTTGTCCAGAAGTAAATGCTCCAGAATGTTGTCAGTTCTAGGAGAGGGTGACTGTGTTTCTTGGTGATATCATTAAACTGGCAATCATAAATGTAAGATCTAGTCGAAGCATCCTTCTTTCAGACCAGGTTAATACGATAGGCCCAAGGACTTGCTGAATGTTCGATAATGTTGTTTTAGAAGTCCTTTAACCCTTTCAGGGGCAGAATATAAAATAATTTAAATTGTGGTAAAATTTTGTATGAACTAAAACTTATGGACCCCTAAGGACACAAAATTGAGACTTAAAAAAAAATCTATAGAGAAATCATGAATTTTGAGAGCCAGTATATATTTTATACTGGTGCACCTCCAAGACATTTTCCAGGTAGCTGCCAATTGCTAATTCTTGTTTTTTAAATTAATTTTGCATACTTTTTTGATGTGCATCTGTAGAGATGAGTGCTTGAATATAGTTATGCAAGTCTGAAGACAAAAACTTTTTTAATTTCTGTAGAAATTTTTGGATAAATTTTAGTTTGCATCTAAAAGGAGCCTCAGCAATATTTTCCCTCCTATCACCAACTGTGAAAATTTATTTCGGAAACAACCTATTTGTATCCTAACTTAGAGGGCAAATTTCTCATGTTCCTTAGTCTATCATCTGAAATTAACAAAGAATTAAAAAGAATTTCCCTAAAGAATAAAAGCATGCTTTCAAATCAGCAGTTTTGTGATTACACTATGAGATGGACCTTAACTGCATTTCCATTTTAAGTGAGTTTTCCCTTTGTGTGATCTTATCACACCACAAAAAGGGAGGAAGGCACGACTCCCGAATGACAAATTAGTTGTCAATCACCTCTTTTCATTTTCATTGCATTCCAGGATTTGGGAAAACATGAAGCAACGGGTGTCTTTTGGGGCTAACATGCCACATTTAACCCTCATAATTGTGTCAAGTTTTGACCCCAGATGGCAATTTTGAAATCAATGAGTCTCTCTTGAGAAGGGGATAACTTCTGAAATAGAAATTTTAGCTAAACAGAGATGAATGAAACTCGAGTTGAGTAAACAAAAAATAAAAAGAAATTAATATACTTGTATTCAGTCCTAGTGAAGAGTCAGTATACTCACCATCTCTTCATGAACATAATATTGAATCCTAAACAACTTATAAATTAATCATAAAAAATTATTACATCATAAACTGTTACAATATAAAGAAATTCTGTCGTGTCACAGAGTAGAAAAGGAGAAGACTGGTGCTGCCATCTATTGGCGTGTTACCCGTTTTAAATTCATATAAATAATCTTCTGTTAATCATCACTTCTGACTGAAATGAAGTAAACCAAGATTTAGCATGTGTACATCATATATTTGCAGATTTTGAATTTTTTCTTCCCTTCCAATAGAATTTATCAATCTTCAAAAATGATACTGTGGAACGAGGTATATTAACTTCATAACTGCAAAATATTGAACATTCATAATGTGTTGCTGCCATTCAGTATCGAAAAGAAACACTAGAAACTTACGATTATAGCTTTTGGTGTTGAAAAATTAGCATTTTTTAGGAGGTT